CATACCACGTGGCCATTAGAACTTTCTTCTTCTTTTCAAACTTCTTTCTAGGTTTCTCCTTCTGAAGCTTTGGACATTCATTTTTATAGTGCCCTGGCTCCTTGCACTCATAGCATACAAATTCTTTCTTGCCAGATCTTTTATGTCTAGAAGATTCACCACGTTGATTAGATCTCTTGAAGTTTCTGAACTTCTTTTGTTTATGCTTCCAGAGTTTGTTTATCCTTATGGACAACAAAGACAGTTCATCTTCTTCAGAGGAAGATTCTTCAGAGCTTTTTTTAATAACCTGCAAAGCTTTAGCAGCTTTGTTAGACTTTAATGCAACAAAGTTACCTTTCTTTTGGGGCTCGTCTTCTTCCATCTCAATTTCATGGCTTCTCAAGGAACTGATCAGTTCCTCCAGAGTGATCTTATTCAGATCCTTTGCAAGCTTCAGTGTTGTGACCATTGGTCTCCATCTTGTTGGCAAGCTTCTGATGATCTTCTTGACTTGATTAGAGGTAGAGTAACCTTTGTCCAGAACTTTCAGACCAGCAGTTAGAATCTGAAACCTTGAGAACATAACTTCCACAGATTCATATTCCTCCATCTTGAAGGCTTCGTATTTTTGGATGAGCGCCAGAGCCTTAGTCTCCTTCACTTGGGAGTTTCCTTCATGAGTCATCTCTAAAGATTCAAACATATCAAATGTTGTTTCTCTATTTGTGATCTTCTCATACTCAGTATGAGATATAGCATTTAATAGAATGGTTCTTGCTTTATGATGATTTCTGAAGTCTCTTTTCTGTTGGTCAGTCATTGACTTTCTGTCAATCTTTTTTCCTGTATCATCAGTAGGATGAATCCCATAGGTCAGCATCATAGCCTAGAAAGAAAATTTCTATTCTATCTTTCCAATAATCAAACTTCTCACCATCAAACATGGGAGGTTTGGTGTTGATTCTATCTTTATCATCATATTTGTTTACCCCCAGTGTTGTTGTTTGAAGTAGATCCAGCCATAATATCAAGGATAATAACTCAAGAGTTTTCCCAACTGGATCTTTCTCTTTCACTGTTAGGTGATAGCACTACAAAGCCGGAGCTCTGATACCAACTGAAGGTGGGAAAAACACTTAGAAGGGGGATTGAATAAGGGTTTTGAAACAATTATGACAATAGAAAAATAACACAGTATTTTTATCCTGGTTCGTTTGAACTCAAACTAATACAGTCCACCCTACCAAGGTGATTTGCCTTTCTCAACAAGGACTTAATCCATTAAATCAAACTGATTACAGTGTCAAACACTAAGACAAACTGTCTTAGTCTTCTCAAGAAATTCTGACCACAACTTGGTCTTCTTAAGGAACAATTACAAAAAATGTAATACAAATAAAAGTATTTGAATGCTTCTAAAAAGCTATAATCACAACTGTGATTTTTACACTAGTTTAAGAACGAACAAAGAAAGCTATTCAGCTTGTAGAATATTTGTATGAGAGTTTGAGAGTAGTTTTTCAAATTGATTTATCAATAATATTCGTCAACTTTGATATGTTGTTGAAGACTTGCTTTTATAGTGCTGAAAATCCATTGCTTGAAGACTGTGCACTGCTGTGTAGCTGTAGCCTTTTGTCTTCTATTTCCTTTTACTTTCCCAGAAGAGGAATGTTCAACAAATCCCTTTTGTCTGATTTCCTATGCCATACACGAATAAGGAAAGCGTCGTTTGGAATATGCCAACGGATCTTTATTTGAACTGCATCTTCTTCAACAAGTTTCTTTATCAAAGTTACTACATCAGAGTTGATGTCATCAGAGTTTTGCAGCAACAGTGCTTCAGCGTGAATATCTCAGTCAGAGCAGAGTTGTTTATCAGATCCTCTGTACTTGCAGCGTAAAGTACTTCCAGAGTCTTCTGAAACAATGCTTTATGCTCTTCACACAAATTCTTCAGCTACGCTTCAGAGTCTTCTGCAGCTTCTGCTTCAGAGTCTCTTCTGGCAGCGCTCAAAGTCTTTGATGAGTTGCTTCTGACGCTCAGAGCCTAGTGTAGAATAATGTTTAGATGCATTTTTGCTTCCAAAGGAATATTAAATTTAAGATCTGAAACAAAAACACTTGAACACAATTAGAGTATATATTTACTTCATACAAAATTTCATCAGTGTTATCATCAAAATATAGAGATATATTTAAGAACCAATCTGTGTTCTAACATATGCACTTTCTTCTTTCATCTTTACCTCTGTCCAAGGACCCTTGAGTCCCATTTGAGATAGTTTAGTCCCTCCTTTGGAGGTACCTTGAACATATCATGGATGGTGATTCTTTGAGGATATTTGTGTGCTTTCTTGCATGATTATGGTGTTGCTCATGGTTGAGTTGCTCATTTGAGTTCCTTGCTGTTCTCACATGGCCTCCCATTCTCCCATTTAATCATGTCCTTTTCTCCTTTCTTTTGGTTTGCCTTTGGGCATTGTGGTTGATGGTAATGGTTGTAGGATCCATTTCTCCCATTTCATCCCATTCTCTTGTGTGAACTTGTTTAAGTTCTTGGTTTGTGCATTCTTCTCTTGTGTTTGCATCATTTGTATTCTCATGTGCATGCTTGAGGTTGAGATGTGCTTGTGGTGGTGTTTACCCCACACTTTGTCCCTCCCTCTCTTCATCCTCATGTTGTTTGTGCATTACATGTTTGCACCTTTTCTTTTTGCTTCATTCTTCTTTCTTCTTTGCCATGTTCCCTTAGGACCTATAATCTTCCTTGTTCAAGGTTGATTATGATAGACCTTAGGCTTGAACCCATGCATGATAACATTAGGTAGCATACCTTTTCATCCCAATCATAGGATCACTTTGTATGCGAACATTAGGTTGAGTTTAGTCTCTCTTTAGAGTGTCTTTCTCTCCTCATCTTCAAACACCTTCAAAACACATAATAAAAGATAATGGATGTTGTACGCTACGAGTCTTAAGCATTTGAGAAATGATGATTGGGGGCCTCCTCTCAATTGTCTAGAGTGTTTAACGTATGTCCTTTGGACGATGTGCGACGCATTCGTTCCTAAATCATAGTCTTTAGTGCAACATGAATTATGAATCAAACTCAATTCAAAAGACTTCAAAAACAAACACCAAACCTTTTTTATCCTTCGGAATCTTAATTTAGAAAACCTTTTTCACAAAAGAGTGTTGTTAACTCTTGGTTCTATCGCAAACAGGTAACGCCTAAGTCTCAAATGGTCGAGCTGCATACACCTAACTGCTAGAACTAAGGTTTAACCTTACTCGGGTAAAAACATTTGAACCAACCGGTTTTTTAGTTAGCCCGAACTACGTTTGCTCTGATTTCTCATACCAGATGAGGATACGTAGGCACAAGACGGCGATGTCTTGGCGAACAACCTTCCCCACCTTTCACCCGTAGTTTTCCGAACTATGTTGACTCTGACTTTCCCATTGCACGAGGGAGTACGTAGGCATAGAGCGGCGATGCTCTATCGAGTCTCTTTTCTTTTCTTTTGTCTCTAAGTCGTAGCTTAGATAGTTTCAAACACCCTTTTAGATAGACAACAAAGCGTGGATTCCGTTGAGTACAACGGACGTGAAGGGTGTTAATACCTTTCCCTTGCGTAACCGACTCCCAAACCCAAGATTTGGTTGCAATGACCTGTTTTCTCTCATTTTCGTTAGATTTTTTTTGATGGTTTTCTTTCCTTCTTTTAGGTTAAATAACGAACGGTGACGACTTTTCTATCTTTCCGCCGGCCCTTTTCACATTTGCGACACACTTTTATTCAAATTTTCTTTGCCCATAAATCATTTTCTTTAGGCACATATACATCAAAATGTATAATATTACAGAACTACACATTATTTAATTCGTTTATTCTTACGGATTTGTGAACGGCTCCTTTTTATTTATGGTAGTGATAAAATAAGTGTTGTTTGGAAAACAATTACTTGTTAAAAAAGCAATTAACCAATATATCTAGAAGGCAAAGCCGTGCTCCACCGAAGTTTGTTTTGAAGTGTATTTCATTTTGAGTAATTTGGGTCGTTTTCACTCTAATAGAGTAACATATGGCTGGTGTTTAAAATTATCCTTATATAACAGATTAATGATTATTTTTTGAGGGAATAATAGACTAATGTTAATGTCTCATTGTTACAACTAAATAAATATATACTTTAACAATTTGATCACTTCAAGGTATCCATTTTGTTACTTTTGTATTCTCTGGAACCATCCTTAATTGTTTTGTTTACCAACAAAGATATAATATGATTTTACATGTGTAAGTGTAATGCCCAAAATCTTCACAGCAATATTTTTTTCTGGTAAAAATGACACGCAATTTAGTAAAACTACTCTCTCAACTCAGCTTCAAGCAGCTAAGGAGCGAAGCACAGGTCACACTACTCAAAGAGTCAGCTTAGATTGTGCAAGAACCAATAGCAGTCATGTAGAAGAAACAATAAGCATATAAACCTACAACATAATCCAACATAAAAGTTTATATATTATTTTTAACAAAATGTGCACAAGTTACTGATGCCATATTAATTCCAGTGATCTAGTAATTCTGTGTTTTTTAATCAAACTCAAAACGGCTAGCTACATGCACTAGTTGAGAAAAACTGAGTCAAAAATGATGTGAAAGTAGCACTGCTAATTCTTCCTATCCTCACTGATAAAGGCAAGTTCAAATCAAAGGATGAGGTACCTGCAGTAAGGAAATGTTTTGCAGTGGATTGTTGTAAAGTAGCTGTATCAATATGAGAGTAATCTTATATTAAATCATTCGCATAATGTACATAATTAAAACCATCAATGTAAGAGCATATTACAAGTAAAAATATGATAACTCAACTCAACAAACAAGAGACATTCAACAATGTATAACACAACAAGTAATCACATACTCCGCCTTCAATTCTTGAGGAGAATGATAGTATAGAAAGCAGCAGGAAGTCTAACCAAGAAAAACACATTTTCTCTCCTCTCATAACTACTGTTTTGAGACTTTATCCAAAGCATCAAAAACATATTGCTGAGTTACATCTTCCACAATCACTGTTTTATCTCTTGACTTAGAACCAGTACCTAAAGATACTTGTCTTCGTTTTACACTTAAAACCTGGAATCACCACATGAATGAAGATAAGAAACTCAAAAGAAAAACTCAATAATTCAGAGTTCTTCGTTTCGCCAATGCTAATTGAAATAACAAGTAAAAATTCATAACCAGATACAGAACAGCAACAACAACAGTCAAGCCTTATCCCACAAAATCAGGTCAGTTACATGGATCAACTCCAACCATAATGTTGTATGTACCCAGAAACAAATGGAACCTGAACATTACTGTGTGCATTGGGGCAAGTGTTTGATAAAAGTGACTTTAAATAAAATTGATTGGATTAAAACTAAGTTTGAACTTTGAAGATAAATAATCTAACACTAAACTTTGATGTTAAATTTTTCTAACTGAATGCAACAGTTAATTTTCATGTTTTGGAGGCAAAATATAACAAGAATTGAAATATGAATACAAGAGTGGGAACAATGGCTTACGGAGCTGATGTAATCAAGAAGAGCAGCATTTGCTTCACCATCCCTCGCCGGTGCATCAATTTGCACACCAACAGCTTCATCACTCACATCTACTTATCAGCAAAACTAAAAATTAAAACACTGCAATTTCAATTTCATCAAATAATAATACTTACAGAGAGAGAGAAAGAGAGACCTGTTATGGATGCGGACTTGGAACCTGGTTTAGCGTGGATGGTTATAGCGACGGATGAAGGAGGCATGCACCGAATACAAGACGGAAAATTATTAGGTTTTTCCGAAGGAGTCGTTTCCTTTGATCCAGCTTTTGTTTTCCCTTTCTTCGCCGGCGGCATTTTTCTATTTTCCGATAATTGTAACCGGAGATTTGCCGGTACGATATACCCTTGACTTGCGTACTTGAAACGCTGTCGTTTTCGATCAGATTTTTAATTAGTAGTAGTAACTTTTTAGAATTTTGTTGTGTTGTGCGGGAGCACGGATCTTAGGATGCAGTTGCCACAGAGGATTTTGATTCTCTAAAGAAATCTCAGCTGTTAGTTTAATCCAACGGCTTTAACTTGAACATCTGGAGATCGAGATTTCGGATTACCTCAATAATTATAGGAAGATTTGGGAAAAATTGATTTCCGCTACGACGTGAAACCGACAATGGGAGCGTCCACTTCTTCAGAACCGAGGGTCCCGGCGGAACAGCAGGAGGCGGAAAACGTCGCAGCCTCCACCGGAGCTCTTCCTATACTTCAAAAAGCTTTCTCCAAGTTTGCTAATTCCGAAACAAACGCAATTCCCTTAGAAAATCTTCAGGTACTCGTCGTAGACTTTAACAAATTGATCATAATCTGAATTGATCTTTCTTAATTGTAATTGTATATTCGTTGTTTTCAGAAATGCTTCGGTTTCGCTCGCGAAGGTCGAAGTTACAATGCAGAAAACGCGAAAGATTCGTTTCCGGTGTTATTGGATCATTTAGGTTCATCCTTAGTTGATCACTTTTTCATTTCTGGTAAAGGAGGAATAAATTGGGTTGAATTTGTAAAAGGCTATAACAAGTGTTGTGCTAGGGTATCTGCTTCCACTTTGCTGAACAAGTTTATTAGAGTATTCATTGATGTTACAAGAAAAGCTGACGTGCCTGTGAATTTGGAATTTGAATCAGAGGATGCTGATTGCAAGGCGAACGGGTACCTTCTTCCAAACCATGTGTTTCTGCTTCTTTCTGTTTGTTGGGCTTTGTCTTGGGATGGTAGAAATTCGAAAGGGAAAGGAAATGTGAGTGTGCCTGATCTGAGTCATTTGGTATTGTCAGCAGTTACGTCGTGTGTTGAAGATAAAGATGGGTTTGATGTATGGAATTGTGATATTTCATGTTTGGAAGTTCAGCTTCCTGCTGGGAAGTTTGTTACATGGGTTATGAGTACAGTGCCATGCCTCCCTGATTGCTTAAAACTGTATTTTCATGCAAGACTGCAAATGCTAGTAACTGAAGGGGTAATCTATCTACTCATATTTTAAATTATTTAGGTACTAGTAGATAAGTTTATATATTTCTTATATTCTAATTATCATATTGTATGTTACAATAAAATGTGTCAAATAGTTTTGAACTATATATGATTTTACAGATTTAGAAACTTAGGTTATGTTCATAAGTTGTTTTCAAATTATTATCATATGATACCCAGTATAGTTCCTAAAACAGGTCATTCAGAGCTTATGCAGAATTTTTCAATATTCCTTCTTCAATTGAAGAAACAATTTATATATAAACTTTTATATGATAAGCATTTAATAAATAAAAACTGAATTCAGTTGTTTATCTAAATGTGCTGTTGGGAAGTCTTAGAATTTAACAGTTTGGGAGTGATTAAATTTGCATTCTATAAAAAGCTGTTGAAAATGTGATCTACACTAACTTTTACCCTTTGAATCAGATTTTGACCCCAAAGTCAAACTTACACACACCCCACTTCGGCCCAAGATTTTCCCCCCTTTCTTCACTCTTATGTGTAAATTACATTAAAAAAACCTATCTTGCCATCAAATAATTAAAATGAATTAAATATTTTTCCATATAATTTCATTACTGGTATGGTATGTCTTCTAGAGTGGCAGAAAATCCTCTTACCACTTGATGTATTGTGCTTATTCATCTAACTAGTTTGTCATTTTTGTTTGTAATTTTAGATATTACTTGATCAATTATTAATTTTAGATATTAGTACACTTGCTCTTAATTTGCGGAGGAAAAGATGTAGTTTTCCTGGTACTATGATTCTTTAAGTTTGCCTTATTTTCTTAGTGTCCGTAGTTCAATGATATGTGTATATTTTGGATTATATTATCATTTAAAACAATTAACATTGGCATTCTTCCTATATACAATTAGTTGTTTGTATGAGAGAAAGTCAGTTGCATGTGGTTTCTAGGTTCAGTAAGATCTGATCAAATAATTTCTTGACCGGGTGGCAGGATGAATTGGCATCCTCTGATTCTTCCTCTATTGAAGAAATTTCATCTACAGCTGCATGTGATTATATTTTAACCCAAGGAAGGGCGTGGGCAATTTCTATCACACAAAGAAGTACAGTAAATGAAGAGATTTCTAGAGCCTTTATTAGCAGTGGAGCTGGAATGAATGATAACCTTATTTATCGGTTTGTATATCTGATCCTCAATGTTAGCTTAATTATATTATTTTGGTTTACTAGTCGGAGATATTTGTCAATTTTTTTTTAAATGTTGAAAAATGTACACTTACTATGATGTTTTTCTGATTTGCCCTTTGTTGGCAGAGTTTGAGTTTGTTTGATCTGCAACACGTGTAATTTTTAAGTAAGACTTATCAGGCGGAAAACAAAATTCCTATTGACAGAACTCTCTACTGTGTTATATAGTTCATCGACCCATGGAAGAGGCCTCAACAGATTTTGGTCTCGTGTTGAAGGTTACCATGGTCCGTTGCTAATTTTGGTTGCTGCGAGTTCGGGAAATGATCATGAGGGAAATTCTGCCATCAGGAAATTTGTTATAGGTGCCCAAACAAATGAAGGTCTAGAAAATAAAGATGTCTTCTATGGAACCACTGGTTGTTTATATTCTTTAAACCCAGTGTTTCATGTATTTCCACCTACTGGTAGGCAATAAATGTGAAAGTATTCCCTTAGTTGTTCCTGTTTTGGGCTCTCTTATTTCGGGACACTGATAAGATTGTCTAAAACCCTGAAACTAGCTGTTACTATTGACAGGCAAGGAAAAGAACTTTGTTTATAGCCACCTGCATCCTACTGGCAGAGCATACCAATCACATCCAAAGCCAGTTGGAGTTGCATTTGGAGGAACTCCGGGAAATGAGAGAATATATATTGATGAAGATTTTTCCAAAGTGACCATTCGCCACCATGCTGTTGACAAAACTTACCAGAGTGGTTCCCTTCTTCCAGATCAGGTACTTCTATTGTGGAAAGTACTTACTGCTTGTTTACACAGCTACTAACCATATATTGATTAATGCATTCATCAAAAGTTTCTGATTCTGCATGTTCTCTGATGGAAGTCTTTTTTTAGAGATCCAGTGAACTCTTTTATGCTTTAAAATTCCCATTCATTTTATTATGATAATGATTTTGTTATCAGCTTATATTAATTACCTAAGAGACATGAGTATTCATTATGGAGAAAGCATACAGTAACTGAATAAAATTATTGTGGCCATAGACGTATTCCTTGATAAAACACTATGGCAAAAGTTGATCCATGTAACCGATCCCGCCTCATGGGATAAGGCTTAGTTGTTGTATTAGACATATCACAATTAATGAATTGTATATGTCTCTCTGGCTCCTTATTTCTGAGTTCATGTTGGTTTATCTTGTATTTCAGGGGTTCCTGCCTACTGAAGCTCTCATTTCAGAAGTTGAAGTATGGGGACTCGGTGGGAAAGCAGCAAAGGAAGTGCAAGACTCATATAAGAAGAGAGAAGATCTTTTCACTGAGCAGAGACGAAAAGTATCCTACCCTATCCAATTAGTTGTTGCTAATATTAGTTAAGTTTTGGTAAATCAATGAACAGCAGTGGCTAACAACTTAGTGTTGTCATGCTATTTTGTAGGTTGACCTGAAAACATTTTCGAATTGGGAGGATTCACCTGAGAAAATGATGATGGATATGGTGTCCGATCCAAATGCTGCTCGAAGGGAAGATCGTTAAGCAAACATATAGTGTTGATTTGCCTAAGGTGATATACTTTAACAGGCATAAGCACAGTTTATCTTGTGATTGTTCTTTATTTCTCATGCTTGAGATCCTGAAGTAGCTGTACATGATATAGAAATTTTGTATGTAAGAAAAACCTGTTGCGTGGCAATAAACTTCTTCTGAAGGACGATTTGTGATATATGTATGTATATATATAGTAATGGAAAAATATTGTTATACACATGTGACATGGGATTGAGACCTTGCATTTTTCCTAATACTTTCATCACAGTATCACACCATTATTGTACGTTAATGAGAAAGCCTAGCCTGGAGTTGTACATTGTGTATTGGTGAATTGGAAAGCTTAATAACATTTCTGTAAGTGTATGGTAACCGTTATTGGGATTCACCAATTTTGCTGAAGCTTATAGCATTACTATGAGTACTTCTTATATAGTAAGGTTTTTTTTTTTTTGGTTGAAGAAATGTGTATAGTTAAGTTTAAATTATTTTATCTTGCAAAAGTAATGTGAGTTAAAATATAATTTTAAGCAAAATGTTATATATCTAATATAAAAAAAAAATTGTAGTTAAAAATTGCATGATAATGCAAAGTAATATGTTTTATCACTTTTGATCAAACTTAATTTTCGGAGGCAAAGATGATATAATAGGCATCTAAATATTGAAGATTTTACTCTATACCCCTGCAGTTATAGCCATACTTCTACAATTTTAAAAAAATATCTATTTTATTTTTATATATTTTAATATTGTTTTTCCACTTTTTAACGTATCTGATTTTGTAGACTTCCGACGAACTACCGGAACACTTTGAAAATGACTTTCGGTACGGTTTTTTCCTCAAATCGAAAGACTTTGACAAAGAGTTCCGGTTCACATAAATTATGTACCGGAAGACTTTATGAAAAACTTCTGGTTTGAGAATTTTCGTGGTGTTCACTGGAAGACTTGTACAAAGAGTTCCGGTACTTGTAAAAAAGTGTATCTGAACACTTTTTATAAGTCTTTCGGTTTGTATTTTTTGGCTACCGGAACTCTTTGAGTCTTTCGGTTTGAATTGTCCATTTTTTTTTTATAATTTTTTTTGAATTTTTTTTATGTAGTTTCAGAAGTTCTTTTATAAATATGTGATAAAGATCAGATATGCGTAGATACGTCTGATGTTTTTTCAACAACTCAAAGATTTGGTACACGAGAAGAGATAATAAGAGGGATTAAAGAGATTGGAATCTGAAATAAAGTTACGGTTGTCATCACTCGTTCAGATATTAAAACAGGCAAGAGAGGAAGAAATAACAAATTAATATTTGGATGTGATAAAGAAGGAAAACACAAAGATATTGATAGTGGAACCCAGAGTGCGACGAAAAAATGTGGATGTCCATTTAGAATCATATCAATTCCAGCGACTGATGGATCTGGATGGAAGATTGATGTATAATGTGGAGTTCATAACCATGATTTACTTGATAGATTAGAAGGTCACGCATTTGTCGGTAGGTTGACAGCGGATCAGAAGCAACATGTTGTTGATTTGACAAAGAGAAAGGTTCCACCTAGACATATATTGCTTTCATTGCAAGAGCAAGATCCAGATAATGTCACTCGGATCACGTAAACATACAAACATAAGAGTATGATAGAAAAAAAATATAAGAGGTCCTAGAAGTGAGATACAACATTTGTTTAACCTTATTGAGGAAGCAAGTTATGTTTATTGGAGTAGAAAAAGAGATGACTCTAAAGTTATTAGAGATATCTTTTGGGCTCATCCAAATTCAGTTAAGTTGTTGAATATTTTTTCTATTGTGCTAGTTATGGACAACACTTACAAGACAAACAAATATAGGCAACCTCTGTTTGAAATTGTTGGCATGACATCAACCGAGTTGACTTTTGCTGTCGCATTTGCCTATATTGAGTCTGAGCAAACTGAGAGTTTTTGTTGGGTGCTAGATAAGTTTAAACAATTGTTTGTGAAGAAAGAGTTGTGTCCACAAGTGATTTTGACAGATAGAGATCTTGCTTTGATGAAAGCCATTGAAATTGTGTTTCCAAGGTCGATCAATATGCTATGTCGATTTCATATTAACAAGAATGTTGGTGCAAAACGGAAACAATATGTGGCTAGTGACATGCAAAAGAAAATTGACGAATTATGGACGGATGTTGTATGGGCTAGTGATGAGGTTAAGTATGATCAAAGGTTGAACCAACTTGAGAAGGCGTGTGTTGATTGTAATGAATTTATTGATTATGTGAAAGACACATGGTTGACACCACATAGACAAAGATTTGATTGGATCATGGATTAATCGAGTGCTACATTTGGGTAACACCACGACTAATCGGTATGTATTTATTTTTAGTATTTCTAAATTGTATTTTTTTTTTAATTTTATAAAAGTATTGTTAATATGTATTAATTTTAGGGTTGAGTCTGCTCATTGGAAGTTAAAGCAAATGTTGGGGAACAGTATTGGTGACATGGTCAAATGTTAGGAGGCTATGAATGACAACTTAAAGTTACAATTGGGTAATATTAGAGCTTCTTTTCAAAAGAGTTTTTATGAAGTTGAGCACGCCCACGTAAGTCCATTTTACAATAATTTACGTGGTTCAGTGTCTCGAGATGCATTGAGACGCATTGCTGAAGAGTTAAAACGAGTTGATTATGTTGGAACTAACAAGGAAATATGTTGTTGTACTCTTAGAACAACCTACAGATTACCTTGTGCTTGTGAGTTGACAAGATATAGAATTGATGGTATACCGATACCAATCGATGCTGTACATGTTCATTGGAGAAAACTAAGTATGAAAGTTAAGTTGGATGAAGACGTAGATGATGGATCAGAGGTGGATATGAGTAGTGCAATAGATGAGTTATGGAAAAGGTTTAAGTCACTGGATGTTGTTGGGAAAAGGGAATTAAAAAGTAGGGCTTTTGAACTTGCCTTCCCTACAATGACTTCTATGTGTCCACCACCTGAGAAAATAAAAACTAAAGGGGGAGTCAAGAAGAAAGACAAAAAATCAGTAGGATATGATGTTTATAGAGACCCTTCGTATCACGAGTATATTGATCAAGCATCTCAATCTTCACATATGCAATCTCAACCATCTCAAACTTCAAAGAAGTTGAAATTTTCACAGTCTTCACAAAAGAAATCTCAACCATCACAAGCTTCGAAGAAGTTGAAATTATCACAATCTTCACAATCATCTAAGCAGTTCATCCTTCAGTTTCATAATCACATTCGGTCATATATTGATGATGTAGTTAATGGTGTATCAGATGGTAATTGTGGATTTAGAGTCATTGCTTCATTGCATGGATTTGGTGAAGATGGTTGACCAATGGTTCGTCGAGACTTGGGGTTGGAAATAATACATAATGAAAGATCAAGTTTGTATGCCAATTTATTTACTGATCAGTTAGCAGTGGTGAGAGAATCTTTGATGATAGAGGAAGTCAGTCCTCAACCACCACATAAATGGTTAACTCTACCAAATATGGGTTACGCGATAGCGAATCGTTATAATGTTGTACTTGTTTGTTTAGGAATTGAATGCTGGACTTTCTTCCCTATGACAACTTCATTTTCACCGAATGTAGTAATTTACTGCATTGTTTTGTAAACAGAAGTCATTGGGTTCAGGCAATTAGTTATTTTTAGATAATGCGATTAACCCTAAGCCTTTTTTATTATTTTTACTTACTATTTTGATTATTTTTTTTATTTAGGTAAACATTAAAGAAGGGTTTTCATTGCCACCGGTGATAGTAGATTGGAAGAAGTTTCATTCTCCAGCAGCAACATCTTGGATGCTAGGATTTGCACGATGTCTACAACATTGGCAACAACTTACGCCTATATTACCAACGCATTATAAATTATAAACTATGTTACTCATTTTTAATTTCAAAACATGAATAATGAATTATGTTACTCGTTTTTAATTTCAAAACATGAATCGTGAATTAAGTTATTCATTTTTTATTTCAGGCTACAAGTTAACACTTAAACATAAACCAACTAGATTAAATGAGTCTAAAAGTTAACACATAAACATAAAACAATTAGGTCAAATGAGTCTAAAAGTTAACATATAATCATAAATATAAATATAAGTCACTGTGATCGAGCAATATGTAAAGCTTCGAACAAATCCGCAAACTGTGGGTCATCATCTTCAGCACCAGCCTGCTGAAGATAATGATGAATCAACAAAGACACACGAGCCCAGCTAGGATCAGATGGTCCTGCTTCATATACAGGAACTGGCATCTCTGCTGGCGCATCTTGATAGGGTGGCGGTACCAGACGAGGATGAGAGACACGATAATACCACTCAAGATATCCATCATCTGTCTCATATGGGGTGGTGGCCGATGCTGTCAGACGAATCACATTCTGAATGCTCTGATGGTAACTAATCCAGTCAACATCAATATCACCAGCCATCGTATGATCAAGAGGTGGATGTGAAACATACTGCTGTATCCAAACTGACGCATACATCTGTCAGACAAGTATGGAACAATAGTGTCACCCACCTCAGACACCCCCTATATAGACATAGCTCATCAAACTGACGTCATACTCTATGATTCTCGAATGGGCGCCATATGACATCAGCAGGTGTCAGCTCGTCTAGAATAGGTCGCAACTCATCCACCTTCAAGGCACCTTGCCTATATGACCATCTCATCGCTCGAGGGAGACCCACATTATTAGCTGGTACCCAGTTCTCTCATTTTTTTCCAAGTGTTGGAAAATACTCATGAATCCAGCACTGCTACAAAATTAATATGGTTATTAAATTTAAAATAATTAATTATAACATAATAAACTAGATAAATAAAATTAATATACTAGATAAAATTTATTAAAACAAAATATACTAAATTGAAATAAATACCTGTAGGAGAGTCGGATAACCACCAAGCTGCTTACAGCTGAACATGGAAGCATCTTCGAGATATCTGTAAAGAGTAACCAACACAGTTGCTCCCCAACTGTATCCTGATAAGTCATCCAAGTCTATAAATAGTGAGAGGTATCGTGCATCGACAAGCGTAATTGTCTTGTCCGCGAAAATAGTGGAACCCACTAACATCAGCAAATAAGCTCTAGTGGCATAATGTTATCTAGATGCAACTCTATGCTCTACGAACCGATCATATAATCACTCCACCTTATAGTAGGAACCCCTGCAGTCACAGACTTGTTGTTGTGCTACTCTCTGTGACACTCCTAAATAATCAACAATCCACTCAACAGCAAGCGCTTCACTGATATCTTGAGGGCTCTAGAAGACTCCCCTGATGGGCAAGTGAAGCAAGCAAGATACGCCATCTAGAGTAATCGTCATCTCACCAAACGACATGTGAAATGAAGATGTCTCTAGATGCCATCTCCCTGCAAATGCGGAAACTAGGTTTGTGTCTATCTTTGTTAAACTGGTTCTCTGGAGTGAAGCTAGACCAGACCTAGATATCCAACTCTCCATCTCTCTGGGTTGCTGTAGTGGAACCCTCTGAGTCAACTTCAATCCATGTCCCGCTACCTTTAACTCTTTATTCGACCCTCTCTCCTGAAAATAATTAAAATTAAATATATTATAAAATTCAATATTAAAAATTTGAATTCAATTCAATATTAAATAATTTTCGTTTACATACCTCACCGAACCATATACGGTTTGCAACATGTTGTTCGTACTTAACTAATAGAGATGTATCATACGGTCCTCCTGGATATCCAACATGCTCGGATGCAGATGCAAATGCATCAAAATGCTCTTCTTCAGCCATTCTCGATGACTCGCCCCGTCCTAGTCCACGAGGGATCCTACCATCTCTGCCTCGTGTGCGCACCATTGACAAAATAAATAAATAAATATAATTAAAACTTAAAAATTAAAAAAAAAATCATGAACCGAAAGTCTTGAGCAAAGACTTCCGGTGAACAAAACGTAAAACGCGTGTTCCGGAACACTTAATCCAAGACTTATGTTGTACAAAAGCAAAAAGTTATGAACCAAAAGATTTGCATTAAGTCTTCCGGTGAAGAAACCAAAAAAAATTACAAACCGAAAGACATACATTAAGTGTTCCGGAGAACAAACCAAAAAATCAACAAACCGGAAGACTTACTCTTGGAGTTCCGGTATGTGTTGATCAAAAAATGTGTTCCGGATGACTTGTTGGAAGAGTTCCGGTTTGTAGTAGGAAAAAAGAGAGTTCCAGAAGTGTTGAAATCTAAATGAAGTGAAAGTGAATTTTTTTTTTAAATTATAGGTATTTAAACAAGAGTATTTTAGTCCAATATTTTTTAGTGTAGGAGTGTGGGTTTAAGTGTAAGGGTATGAGGTAAATTTTTCCTAAATATATTAAGATTTGATATAGTCTTGTCTAGTACATTTAGGACATTTCGAAACAAATTTAAGTTCAGTCACGATATGCTTACCTTCCGTTTAAGTGATTTAACTTTTAAGACTGAGAGCTAAAATCCTAACAACGGGGCCCCTAATTATAGAATAAGGTCCGATGTTAATGAGCATATGATTGTACAATTTTCATAGAAATTGCAGAGGAATAGAATAAAGAGAATTGATTTGCTCAGTGTCCATGAATATCTCATTAGTTTTCATCAAGAGAATATGTAAATAAAGAGAATTCTGTTATAAAGATACTTTTATCTTTTTGCTGAACACATCAGCAGCATGCACACAATAGAAATGAAATGGCAATTAAATCTTTGTACATAATTAGAATTGTATGTGTGCTTATACAAATTAAAACATCACTGCATTGATGATGATACCAGAACCTCCATAATAAGATATACGGTATGTATGTCTGAACCAACTGAACAAATAAATGAATGATTCTCACTTTGACGATAAGCTGAATTTCTAGCTAGTAGTAGAAAGTCTGATAGTCGATTGTAATCAACTACCTACCCATTACAATCAAATGCCACCATTTTTACTAATTTACCCTTCACTTTAATTTTATTTAACACTACACTATGTCCTTTTTGGTAATTCACAAAATACACAACCATTGACCAATTGCATGGTCCAATTTTGCCAAGTGGCAGCAGTTTTTTTTTAAAAACTTTGTCTTCCCTCTTTCCCTCACTTTCTCCCTCTTTCTCTCACCTTCTATCTCTTTTATCGTCTCCCTCTTTCTCTCACCTTCTCTCTCTTTCTCCTACCCTCCCTCTTTCATTCTCGTCATTGCTCCCTCTCTCACGTTTCAATCGGTTCTTCCTTCTATTATGCAACCACTTTATTCTCTAGCTTGAATCCTAATACATCTCTCTGTAAGTGCATCACTTTATTTTAACCCTAAAAAACCCTAAACTGACTCCCCCTTCTCCCTCGTCTCCCTTATGCTTCATTTCACCATGAATGCAACCTATAGTCCAGATTCGAGATTGAATAAATCTGAATGAAGGTCAGTTCATATTTATTTGTGGGTTCTGGTTTTGGTTTGATTATTTTCTGCGTTTTTGTTACTTAGATAATGTATTTTGGGGTTTTTATCCAACATTGCCTTTTTTCCCCATAATTTGATTAGTTGATTTGATATTGTTTTTGGTTTTGATTCAAAGTTTAAAACTGTATGCTACTGTTAAGTGTAAAATCTGATTTTACCTTATGGGTATGAAAGTTGAATACTTTGGAACTTTTTTGTGCCTGTTGGTTTTTGTAGGTGGTAGAGATGTCGACTCCTGCTACGAAGAGATTGAAGATGTTGGAATTTTTGATTATGTTCTTGATGTTGTTTGGAAAGAAGCTGGAAGCAATGATCGCTTGCAGGGTATGGTTTTATAACTTTTGTTAATAATTTTAGGGTTTTGTTGAGTTTTGAAATTGATAGATATGTTTGTGTGTTTTGAAGTTTTGAAGTGTGTTTTAAACAAAGTGAAATAGTATTGAAATTGTGTGTAATTTTGAAGTTGGATATATCCTTTAATGCCAGGTATTCATTTTCACGGGTGGTTCTGATGACGTTGAAAGCTGATAATCCTGTCTCTTTTTTTTGTAAAATCTGTTGTAGTGGCCCACTTTGGGGATTCGTTGTCGGTTTCCTGCTTTTCAACATTAAAGGTATTGCATACTGTTAGAAATTGAGGTGAAAGTAGTTTATAATATTTTCCCTTGATTATTAGTTTATAACATCTCCAAAAAAATCTACATGGATTTTTCTTTTGGCAAAACCTTCCATTCCACTTCAAGTTGGTGTGACTAGGTTATACTCAGTTTTGCATACCGTTGAAAATTAACATTTTTTGTGTTTAACACAGGATCTAATCTATATTTCTGGATAGCTATCATTCCTATATCTGTAAGTTACCTTTTTCATTCCCTCTGAACTTTTTCACTTTTGTTTCTGAACCATTGACTTTGTGAATCGCGTGTGGTTGCTCTTTTGATGTGTCATGCTATTTCTTATGTGTTAATGTTGAAGAACAGCATTGGTGTGGTGTGTTGGAAATCTCAAACAGTCGGGTTTCACAATATCGTAAGTGTTTAATGTGTTCCCCTTCTTTATGTAATGGTAGCACTACTTGTGTTTACATGATTCTGCTATGGTTTTGTTTCCTGATGTACTGGCAGTAGCACTACTTGTGCTTTTTATAATAATCAAATTTGGCTTATTCAAAAAAAGGAAGCAATAGATATAATATCAGGCAGTGTTGGTTAAGTGGTGAAAATGCTGAATAATAGACGGTTGGTCAATCAAATTTGGCTTATTTTGTGAACTCACCTGTTTACTTTTAATGCTGAATATGTTTTTACAATCTACACCAGTGAACATTATTGTTGGTTCTCATGTCTGGGTTGAAGATCCAACACTAACATGGATTGGTGGTGAAGTTACTA